GGGAAATGTCGCCTCGGTACCGGCCTATCTCCGGGTCGCCCTGCGCGCGATCTGGATTCACCTGCTGCTGATGATGCGGCCTTGGGGCGACCTGAAAAGCCTCGTCGCCGCGCAGGACGGGCGCTCGCTCTACATCATTCCATCGCAACTACAGCTCGAACATTCATCATTGATCGAGGGGCTGAAAACGGCCGGTGATTTGAAGCTCGTCTACTTCGTCCACGACATCCTGCCGAGCCTCCTGCCGGCCTACTTTCCGGACGATGCCGAGGAGCGCAATCGCCGCCGGATGGAGAATGCCGCCCGCCTTGCGGATGCGATCATCGTCAATTCGCAGGCGACAGCCGTCTCGTTCAAGGGCCGTTTTGGCCGCGATATGGCGCCGGAGAAGCTCGTCGTCGCGCCCCTCGGCATCACCCTTGGGAAGAATTCCGCGACTTCATATCGGCCACCGTCAGAACCTTACTTCGTGATGCTGGGCACGATCGAGCCGCGCAAGAACCATCTCCTGGTCCTCAACCTCTGGCGCGATCTGTATGCCGAACTGGGCCAGAAGACACCTCGACTCCTCCTCGTCGGGAGTCGCGGCTGGAAGAACCGCGACATCATCGAGATGATCGAGCGAAACGCGCCGCCGCGCGGGGCAGTCGAGGAACTCGGCCGGCTGCCTGACGCAGCGGTCGCCAGCCTGTTGAAGGGAGCGCGCGCCCTGCTGCTCCCCTCCTTCGCAGAGGGCTACGGCCTGCCTCTCGCCGAGGCCCTCAGCCGCGGCACGCCAGTCCTCTGCAGCGACCTGCCGGTCTTCCATGAAGTCGGCGCCGGCATCCCCGACTATCTCTCGCCCAGGAACGCCGAGGCATGGCGGGCGGCCGTGCTCGACTATGCCGGACCGCACTCGACGCGCCGTGCCGCGCAGCTCCGGAGACTGGGTTCCTGGTCGCCGCCGAGCTGGAAACGGCACTTCGACATCGTCGACGAGACCCTGAGTATCCTGGAGAAATGAGGTCGCAAGCCACACTCCGGCTCTCCGGTCACTTGCCTTCAGGCGCATAGGGCATCCATGAAGGCGTTGCTGGTCGTGCTCTCGGGACTCGTCCTCGCCGCGCCTGCGTCAGCGCAACAGATCGCGCAAGGCGGCCAGGGTGGCACCATCGGCGGAACGGTCGGCGGCACCCCCGCAACAACATGCTGCTTCAGGTCAGCCTGATTCACATTCTCATTCGTCCACTGGAGCCCTCTGGCATACTTCAAGGACGGAAACACTATAAGCGAGGATGCAAAGACGTGC